CTTTTTGTTCTAAGCTATTTGAAATACTTTAACATAAAATATATATCAAAAACAGTAGTACGTGATTAAAATTAATTTTTTATAGTTTTTATGTGTTATACTATGTATAAATTGTATGTTGCGTAAAGATCTATTTTTTTTTAACTCTAATTGTTTGTAATATTACTACACATATTAATATGAAACTTATTTATTTTAAAACTATGAATTAAGGAAAATATTACTTAAAGTTCTAATTAATTTTCAGTAACTACGTTTATGATCTAAAATTAAATAGTGACAATACTAATAAAAAAAGTTGAAATTTTTTAAAATAAAATGTAAAAATATATTATAATTTAATNGAAATTTTTTAAAATAAAATGTAAAAATATATTATAATTTAATTGATTTAACATAATTAATTATATTGTGAAATTATTTTTCTAATAATAAATTATTTGGCTTATATTTATTGAATGCTTTTTAATAAAAATAAAATAAAATTATTATATCTTAAATAAAAAATTAAATGTTTTAAAAACAAAAAAAAATAATTATTTTTAAATTCGAAACTATGTGTTTTGATCTCTACAAGTTATAAAAAAATGTATTAAAATTACTTGTTTTTTATTTATATTAGATTAACGCCTTATTTCTGTGTACAACTATGAAACTTGACACGTGCTAGTTTTTTTAGTGCTTTTTATAACTTATATTAAAAGTATTCAACTATAATTGGTAATTACATTATTTTTGTCACAACAATAACTGATGTGAAAAACGTATGGAGTAAGCGAACAAATGGGGTAAAACGAAGAATTCAGTATTTCCCAAAGTCATCTATGTATATCTGCTAGTAACATACCCTCACTAGAATATAAGCACATATTATCACATCTTGTCATTCATAATTAACGTATTTCGACGTAATTTTTGAAGACCTAAATTTGATGTATTAGCATTCTAATGTAAATTTTTCAACTTTTTCACTTATTCTGAAAGTACTACTTTATTGTAGTACATATCATAGTACAACTTATAGAAGATAAAAGGAACAAATAATAGTAGTAGGCGACATATTTTTGAAGAAATACTCATGCAAAGTTTAGTTCATAGACCCAATCACAGAAGTCCGAAAAAATCATAGAAGCTTAACATATCATCTTACCCCGCCTTGCCCTAAGTATTCTGGAAAACATATTTAAAATTGAGAATTTACGTACTACTCTATGTTGTTAAGAACATGTACTTAACAAAAACATATATATGTATATTTATATTGGTATAACTTTATAGTTATTAAAAAATACATAAAATTTGTGTTATTTGTCAAGAATAGTAGTGAAATAACAAATAAATTTTACTTTAAATTATACCAAATGCTGATTTTGAATACACGGACTTTAAAATGTGTTTTAATGTTCACAAAACATGTGAGTGTACAATATTTTTTAAATTACAAAATTGTTTGTTGGTTTGGCTGACATTAAATCAAATATTTTTACTAAAAGTGTTAAAAGTAACTGACATAAATTTTATATTATTTGGAAAAATATTCCAGTATTTGAGTAATATCCAAGTTGCGTCAAAAAGTATTCCTGGGTTTCGAAATACTATTGAATTTATTTTATATTTTTATTCGAAACTGTATATTATACGATGTTTTCGTTGTTTATTAAATATTGTACAATTGAAACAACGACCACCAGAGGCAATACATTGATTTTGAAAACTTTGAGCTATATTTTGGCTTATTTAAAAAGATTAGCGGTAACTTGGGTTTTTTTGGGCTTCACCTCTTTTAAAGCGAAAGGACGATGTTAACATTTTTAATACGTACTTATTTCAGGAGAGCATGCGAGCCATATCACTCCTGAGAAAAATTCTTACAGGGGTACGATTACCTAAATTTTGAAAAGCTTCAATGTTTATTTTTTCAATTATTGCGTAAAACGGTATGTTGTAACGGTTACAGCGATACCTTTCCCGAACTTCTATGCCTGCCCTAAGCTGACAAACGAAACCAGAGATTTTTTTGTCACACTTTTTATCTACGCGTAACTACTTTTAAGATTATTCACTTTTTTAGGGATAATTGTGGCTGAATTCAAACATAATTCTCCCTATTTTACACGTTGTATAAAAAAAAATTCAAGAATAAAAACTTTATTAATGTTTGAATATTTAGTAATTTTAAAATATAACAAATTTCTTGTTTTATTTTTATGGTTAATGTTTTATCGAGTTGATTTGTTCTTTAAACATTTTATTTCACTAATATCATAAAAAACAAAATACTTATCCTTTTTCGAATGAACATCAAACCAACTTATTACATTAAAGAAATGATTGCGACTGGCGCCTATTCGTGATTTATTGTTGACAGGACTAGTGCGGATGTAGCACCGCGATCATTATCTTGATAATTGTTTAGTGTGTACTTTGGCTTGTAATAAAAATACTATGAATACAACACAGTTTCCTATTTTCTATATGATATCAATTATTTTAGATTTATTGTACCAATTATTTTCTTAATTTAATTTAAATAATAATATCTAAAAGGGGTTAATAAATTTCCATTAAGATTATCATCATACACATAAGTATAACTTAAATTAGTAGTTCAAGTACGGTTGTATTTATGGTTTGGCTAAAGGAGCGCAAGTTCCTCTTGCTGAATTTATGGGCTATTTAAATATTATACTCAGAATGCTATTTTTAGAAGAATTTTGAGTGAAAAAAGTCATAAAGATTAATAATTTAATATAATGAAAATATTTACATTAGTCCTAATTCTCGAAAAAAACTTGACCGAGTTCAAAAGATATAGTAATTAATAATCAATGATAATAAAGATATAAAAATTTTATATTAATACATTACGCTAATCAATGAAGTATATCTATCTAAATTGTACATAAAGATAAATGTCTTGTTAATTTGTGTTCATTGAAATATTATTCCATTCACAATGATTATAAATGAATATAACCATTTTGAAAAAGTTATCTTTAGTCTGAAGAAATACATCAAACACTGCTAAGGAAGTTGGTCATAACATTTCGCTACCAAATTTCATCAATTCAAACAGACAACTGGAAATCAGGATGTTGTTTAAAAGTTACTATAGATTTAAAATATAGTATACTGAAATTAATGATCAGGAAGTCAATTTAAAACGAAAAGTTTTTCCGTTTTATTATAGTACTTAGTTTGATATTAGATTTAGCAATTTTAAGAAAAAATATAACATTTTATTGAAGTATATTTAGAGTGAAACATACTTCAATAGGTGGTTGATATATTTTAATCAATAGAGAATTACATCATTAGTTAGATTAATTCTAATAACTATTATCGGCAAAGAAAGTTCAAGCGGTTAATATATTGAATATATACAATTTATCTAAGACTGCTTTATTATTAAGACGTTGCAATTTAATGATAGATTTTATTATTAAGTATTAAACAAACTAGCTTTTCAGATGATCAAAAGTTTGTTGTGTGTAATCTATTCAAAGTTAGGAGTCACATAATAAAATATAATAAGAGTCATTAAAGACACAGTATCACAGATTTACTAAAATATGTTTATTTTTCAATTGTACAATTGGCTTTAGCTTATTTATAATGTTGATAAATTAACTAGAAAATGTTTTATATGTAGAAATAGAATAAAAACTACTAAGCTCAAGAGTGAAACATCTTGCATTTTATTTAAAATCGAATTTAAACCCAACCGTAATCAATTTAGGATAAGTCACTCATTTCCTCAGTCACTACATAATATTTTCAATTTTTGTAAAAGAAAAATTTGTTTGATTCAAAGAACTCTGCAATAATATCCAGTTAAATAAGTTTTTCATTCTTTCGGGGTTAATAAATATAAAATACAATTTTCTTTAATAAGAACCCCTATTTTTAGTTTAACGATATCAAACAATTTTGATCTTATAATTTGTTTTATCCGATCAATCGTTTTAGTTTCAATATTGTTTAAGGATTTTGATTCAAAAAAAAAAATTAGTATTTATTTGATTTTCATTTTACCGGAGACAACAATATTCTGTTTTAATGGCCCACTAATTATTATCGGTTTTTATTCTTGCTATTGTAAGTGACATGTAATAATAATTGTCAATAAAAACCCAGATATGAAAATTACTATATACTCAACAGCAAATTATCAATAGAAATTTTACAAAAATCGATAAACTTTAGCTAATAATAACAGAATATCGTATAAATCGTATAATATCGTATAAAAAATATTATAAGGAAAAAACTGTTTGAATTTTTTTCTTTCGTAAAATTAGAGGTTCCCTTTAATGAAAATTAAAGTTTATATCTTTCAACCCTGAAGAAATTAAAAAAAAATATTTAACTATAGAGCTTTTGAATGAAGCCAATTTTTTCCATTAGAAAAATTTAACATATTTAATAGTGCCTGAGCAAATGAGTGTCTTGTCCTTTAATCGATCACTTTATATAATAAAATTTAATTGGTTGTAAATAATAATAAATATTTTGAAAAAAAAATATACATTTTTACATAATTATGTCCCCTTGTGTAAATAACAGCCTAATAAAATTGTTATGTAATGTAATTTTGTTTTAAAATGGGTTTTAGTATTATTACAACAGTTAAAATATACGTATAATAATTTAATTCTTTGAGAAAAGAAAAAATCTTATTTTAATCGTTTAAATTTGAAATAATTAACTACAATTAGATTCATAATTTGTATTAAAAAGAAATCAATAAAATTATAAGTTGTATTTAAGGAATTATAATATATTAAAAGCAGTTATATGTCAAGAAATGGCTTAAATGAATATTTCATTCTATTAGCCGTGCTAAACATGTACTTTAAATAAAAAAAAAATCACTAATTTAAAAAAAATAGACTTGTGAAAAATCGTGATTGTGTCACTAAGTGATAATGTATATTTATTTTAATACAGTTTTCTAAGATAAATAATAAGAGTTGTAATAAAATAATGTATTTTTTCAGCGCCCTCGGCAATCTTCTCTGTTATATCCTATGCATAGTAAACGGATACGAACTCCAGAGAAAATTATAACAGGTAACAACAACAGATTAACTTTGTACCCGGTAGACATAATTGTAAAATGACTGTGTCTCCAATAGATTGCATGACAGTGTGGTCAGAAGAAGGTCACGTGTATTACAAGTCTACTTCCAATGACCCAACAGTATGCGGTATTTACTTAATGGCTAAGCCTGATCAGACCGTCCACGTGTATTTTGATTACGTTGATATACCGTGTAATACAGGCGGACTTATAGCGGTATGTGAACATGAATGAACAAACAATATATAATCATAATACTTTCATTATTCTAATCTAAGCTATTTGCATACAAATTCTCGCATATACATATATATTTGTATAGTTTTCATATTTAGTGTCATTGGGTGCATATAATTTAATTAATGATTATATGTTAATATAATTCGTTGAGGTGGATTATAATTTACACAAATATAATTACAGTACTTCTGAAGGTACTTACATTTCTATTTGTATTTAAATCTATAACTCAGTAATTAGTTTTATTCCCATAACGTATAAAAATAGTCTAAGTCCAGACATTCCAATATTATCATGAACCATATTTAAATATCATTAATTTTATTTCACCGTTGATATAAAACCAGGGTAATATTAGGTGCTTGGAGGGATGAAAACGTTTTCCTCACTCCACTACTCCCTGTTTTGGAAATTATCTGAACTTATTTGACTTAAAAATTTCTATTTAAGATATATAAAATTAGTATATATAAAATTAGATATATAAAATTAACAAATTAATATTCTCAAAAAGTTTTCTCGGTAACGGGAGTATTTTTCTGAAGACTATTATAGGAGAATATATTCTTAAAAAATAATAATAATGGAATTAAATAATTTATTTAAGAATATTAAATCAAATGTGAAAATTATTTGAAGTAATTAAATTACTATAAATTTTATAGTTTGAAATGGTATTTTGTTTTTTTTATTTTTACATTTATATAAATTAATATGTTTATAATTTGCCATCAAATTAAATAAATTATAGTTTTCTGATTTTGATAATAACACAAAATTATATAAATATTCATATAAAAAAATATATAAACATTAATTATTGTATGTTGTGTATTATTTCAATGAATTGAGTATTAGTGCAGACATTTAAGTTTTTTCCTTAATTCCACTTTTTCAGTGATGGCATGTCATTTGATTCAGGCACCAAAATGTTTCGTTAATTAATATTAGAGAGAAGAAAAATGTATTATTCATTAACATAACCTATCACACCTTTTACCTATCATCTTCTTAATATTCTATAATATAAAAATATTTCTTAATACTCATAATATTTTACATTTATATGGATTCTTAATATTTTATATTTTTATGGCTTCTTCATATTTTACATTTCTATGGCTTCTTAATTTTTTATATTTTTATGGCTTCTTAATTTTTACATTTATATGGCTTCTTAATTTTTCCATTTATATGGCTTCTTATTTTTACATTTCTATGGCTTCTTAATTTTTTACACTTCTATAGCTTCTTAATTTTTACATTTCTATGGCTTCTCAATTTTTACATTTCTATGGCTTCTTATTTTTACATTTCTATGGCTTCATAATATTTTACATTTTTATGGCTTCATAATATTTTACATTTTTATGGCTTCTTAATTTTTACATTTCTATGGCTTCTTAATTTTTACACTTCTATGGCTTCTTAATTTTTTATATTTCTATGGCTTCTTAATCTTTTGCATTACTATGACTTATTAATTTAATTTATTTATATGGCTTGGTCTAAATGTAATAATCGTTCAAAAATAATGATTAAGTTTAGATATAATTGAACAATACCTAATGAAAAAATTCTATATAATTACCTTAAATTGAACTCAATTTGCCCGTCAAGTATAAATTGGGTTATTTTTTAATATAACTCTAAATTATTTATAATCTCAAATAAATAAAATATTATTAGTGATTAACTTTTATTAGAAGCTGGCTATATCTCAAACTTATTTCGACCGAATTATTTGAAAATAAATAAGTAATTTTGGAAGTGATATATTTTTTACTTGTTGATAAATTTTAAATAATTAAAAATATAAAAAAAAGAGTTAAAACAAAATATTATGGGAAAATTTTATTTTAAAGATAGTTTTGTTTATTTAGTTCTTATCTTATGTAGTTCTAAATCAATTACCATTGATTAAGAAAAACATGAAAATTTATATTGATTGTGAAAATTAAAATAAAATAACATATTATAAACATAATAGTATTTTAATAGTTTGTAGATGGGTGGGAATTAAATGGTCAGCTATTTCCAAATGAAAATGATCACCAAGTTCCTACTGAAGATCGATTTTTCGAGATTTGTGGTACAAAAAAACCTAAACAGATATTCAAAGCATCACAAAATGCAGCTCTGATACAATATCGTATACCACATAGAGGCAATGGCTTCAGTTTTTATGTCTCTTTCATCAATAATCCAACTCGTAAGTATAGATTTAATTACTTATAAGTATTAAGAATATTCCAGTGTTTTGAACTATCACAACCGTAACTTTTATCCATATGTAGTGATGAAAATTGAGATTGTGTTTTTGGAGAACACATTTTTTTAAGTTGATCCTTTTAATAGATACCATTTAATAAACGTTATTAAAACACTAATACGCGTTCGTAATTATTCAAATAGATCTCTCATTTTTCATACTTATTTGTAAATGTTATAATTTTAAAAGTTACAGGTAATTTTTGTAATCTATATTGATAGGGTTTCTCGGATTACTTATTCATTATTAACCATTGTTCTTGATGACAATTTATATTGACTCCATCTCTTTAATTCTCTAGTTGTATTAAAAGTGATGAGCATAATAATATAATTTTATGGTCCAAAAAGCATATCTTAAGTTTTAATTTCCTTTGTTCGATCATTTTTTTTATAATTCCTTTGTTAACTTTTGAAGTTTTTTTAGTATCGTCAAACATTTTTTTTCATTCAGGATTCGTTGATTTATTTTATTGCCATTACTTTCCAAGCACTCTGTATCACATAAAAATCAAAATATTATTTTTTTCTTTTAGAAAAGAAAAAATCCTGTAGGTATACCTACAATATACATATTGTACATACGACGGTAAAACTTTATTTTTAAGCTAATAAAAATAGCTACTTGATTATGGTTAACAATTTTGAGTTCAGTATGAAGTATAATATAAATTTATAAATTAAGTTTTATTTACCGTGTTGTTGACATTTTCATGACATTTATTATTACAGCCATAAAAGTACAATTTATGTCTACAAAGAGTTACACTTACATTTATTGCAATAGTACATGGTTGTTGAATAGTTTTCTTATAATAAGTTACTTATTTGAAAATAATCTGTTTTATGATGCATACTTTTATTGTCTTCAGGATTCGTTATCAAAAATAAATTTCGTACCTTATAACTTACCACATAAAAACTATATATAATGTATAAACTTTATACAAAGCCTAAACGTATTATGTTTTATGCGCTGTTTACCACTAGTTAGCAAAATAATTATATATTAATATTATTAAGCATATCTATTCACAATCAAAATGTACACGAGAACTTCATCTAATACCAATTGATTAGATTTGTTTAAGTTCACATAAAATATTAATATTAAATACAGTTCGTAATAGAATATGTTTAAGCCATTCACTTAACATTGTGATGTTAGTAGATGTAACACTGACGTCAGAAAACTTGTGTAATTTACTATGAATTTCGTTCATCAATTATAGAAAATACAAAGGACCATTGTTCGTTTCAATTATGATGAAAGTACGGTTAGTTCAATATAGACGAACAAAATTTGAGTAATTATTATGTATTTAAGACAATTTGAACTAGAATTTAAATAATTATACTGTTTTTATCTGAAACGTAACATTTTTTTTTTAGCTATCTTAAATAGTGCACAAATTGTAATTAAATGTGGTTTACAGCTCAAGTTACATTTTAATTCGTTACGAATTGTAATTAGGTACCTATTGCATCAAATATTTTCCACCAATATTCATTGGTATCATTAAAATTGGCTTAAAAATTCTTTTCATCGTGACTTCTTTGAAGTAAAATATATAACATTATGTGAGTTTTTTTTAACATTTTTAGCGCTTTTAAATCTCAGTTTACGATTCGAAATAACCTTATTTTAAAGAAAATCCATTAGTAGTTACAAACAATATAAAAGAAAGAAAAATTGTTGATTTATATTTAACAGAGTGACACTTTGTTTTAAATTTCCATTTCATTTTTACTGGTGTTTGACGCGAGAAAGAAAAAATAATAATATTATACATTTTAACATCTTTGTAAAGAAAGTTATTTATTTTGAACTTTACTGTAAGTATATTACAAAGGTACACTGTTATTGATAATTTTACTGTTTTCAGAGGTGTGTTATTATATCATTGTAATTGGAAAAATTAATATTATAATGTATCATTAATTATAATATAATTAATATATTAATATATTATATATGCAGCTTTTATAAAAAATATCCAGAATTATGAGTCATCTTTATTTTTCTCAACTTTTAATTTTTATAAAAGAAGATCCCATTATAATATGATTATGTTTCTTAAACCCTTTGTATAGATAGTGCTTTTTTATAATAATAAACAACTTTACAAAACTGTCGCAAAAAGTATCTTCAAAAATTATGAAAATAACTCTGAAGAGTTCAAACTTAATGATTGAAATAGGTTTTAAGTTAAACTCATTAAAACCTTAATTAAAACTTTCAAGTTAAATTTTACATAATGTCAATGTCAAATGTTATTTTGGATCTTAAATTTTGTATTAAAACTAGAAATCACAAATAAAAGAAAAATAGGATTTTTTTCACGTATTTTAAACTTTCTATTTTGGTAAAATTCAAAAAAATATTTGAACTATTGTTAATTTAAAATCTGTCTGAAAGGACCTTTTCTTATTGCGTAGGTTTATATTGTATACTTATAATTGAAACGCATAAGTTCTTTGTATTTTAAAATATTGAGATTGTGTACTTTAGACGTAACAACAATAAAAATTCTCTTGATTTTCTTGTTGGAAGTGTATCTAAAAAAGGTGAAAGTTTTCTCAAATAGTTATTTGATCTATTATCAAAACGAACGAGAGAAATTGAAGGAATCAGAGTGATAATTGGACAAGAAGATACATAAAAATATCGAGGAATAATTGAAATCATTTTATAATTAATGTTTTTCAAACAGAAATGTGTTTATGCTGCTTTCAACCGAATTAGTTTTATTTACAATCAGAAAGTCAGAAAGAGTTCAAAAATTTCTGCTTAAGGTTTAGAGCATGTTTATAGTTTCAATTATTTTTGTAGTTGTAATGACAAACTTTAAAACGGTTTTGTTAAAACTATTTTGAATTTAAAATAAAGTATTTTTGCATTTTAAAATGGTTTTAAATTTCGAAACATTTTTAGTAATATATTTCATGTGACTTTTTATGTGTTTAGCATGTACATGAAAAGGGATGAATACAAAAATTGTTACTATCTTAATAACTATAAAGTTATAAGAGCGATAGTAGGTGAAACAGATTTATTTCCTTAAGAAAAAGTTTTTCTTTTTAGCAAACTAAAATTATAGCGTTGTATTTAAAAAATTGTTTATAGTGATACGTCACGAGAAATATAATAAATTTCATATAAACGCATTAGACGAATATCAAAATAGAATAATTGGAAAGGTTAAATATCTAAAATTTCTCATCAGCTAACTATTATTATTACTAATTACTTATTTAAAATAAAATACTAATTACTTATTACTGTTAGTAAAAAACAACTATAAAATGTAAGTTAAAATAAAACAAAATGTTCTGACAAGAAAAAAAATTCTATCCAAAAAAATCATAAGTTGCCTCGAAGATTTGGTAGCGTAGAATATGATATAAACGTATAAATGTTATTATCAAGAATTCCTAAGAATTATCGACAGGTAAAATTGTATCATCGTGTCAGATAATTCTACTGGTCACCTAATAATGACGAACGAGCCGCTGGACACCTCCTGGAGACACCTAGACACATGGTACTCATAGTTATTCCTTATAAACTCCTGATACTAGATTTTAATGTTTATTACAACGCATTGATATCAGTCTATAATATGAACTATGTAAACTCGTTACACGATACTTATGAACTCCTGGTACGGATTTTTAATCTTTCAAAGTGCTAATGAAGTGATGAGCTACGGTGTCCAATCCTCCAATCGTAGTCCTCGTGAATTCCTGGTACTAAATTTTGATATTTCTTAAACAATACGATCTAAAATATTAATTGTTTAAACTTGTTACGCGTTACCTTATGAATTTTTAAAACGAAAATAATACTTTCTTGACGAGCTGTAGTTAAAACACTGTACTGGAACGGAGGAATTATTTGCAATTTTATCAAAACATTTTTCGCGCAAAGATTTTTTATGTGGAAGGATAACAATTCATGTCTAAAATAATTGCGCGTTTCATATACAGATTAGTGGGTGTTATTTAATTATATTAACACATTGTTTTTTAAATCGCAAAATAAAATATTATAAAAATATCTTGCAATTTAAGTGGCCACTAGTTTTGCACTATTTATTTACTAAATAAGTAGTGTATTATTTCTTATTTTTGGCTTCACTATGATTCATGATATTATACATAAACTATTAACTAACTAATAATTAACTACTTATACAACACTATTAATGTAACCAACTACTGTAGTTCCGCTACAAATAACATCTATTTTCGAACACTGTATACCATTGACGGAGTTAGAAAAAAAACTTGGGTGAGAGGTTAATAATAATTTCTCCCAACTTAAAAAAATTATTTATAATACATTTTCTGAATTTTTAGGGGACTTGGTTTTCAAATCTAACCTCTAACTTTGTCTGTATTGGTTGTATGAAATTAAATGTTTAATTAATTTAATTGATTAATGTAAACATAAATCTTTTGAATGAGTTGTAATTTTGTAATCAAAGATGATTTTATTATACATTTTAGTATTTATCTTTTGCATAAATAACTATGTGCAAGATACCTTTTTCATCATCGGATACCTTCACAAGTCACGTAGGCTAATTCTCGTCAAGTTAGTTTCTTTCGCTATTCATGTTCTAATAATAGTTTACCGAGAAGCTTTTTTTTCAAATAGGGCTTAGAATATCATTAATGTTTTCTCTAAACAACCATTCTATATGCGACCTTGAGTTAATGTAATTAAACGGTAAGATAGATGTGAATTTTTCATAAATTAACATAAGACATGATCATTTTCATTCCCTCCTTGACAAAATTAACAGACTGTGTTACTACCAACATTTAAATTTGTATCATGTTCTTACTTTTAGCATGCAACATCCTCCTAACCGGTTTAGTCGACGTGTATACGTTAAGGAATTACGGGAAACAAGTAAACTGTAGTTTGACCACATTATATCCAGCTCAAGTAAAAATTTTATCTCTGGGAGTTGGTTTGGGACACGGTCAAAAGAGAAATTATGAACTTGAAACCGGAACGATTCACAAGGTAACTACGGATTTAATATAAAAGTAATGAAGAATATTATGTTTTGTATTACCTAAAAAATAAATTATATCAATAATATTTTAAATAAAAAGTATCGATAATTTGTTTACATTATCTTATATTTTTAAACAGTGTGAGAATCGCGGAGCGCCTGATTTCGTTCAAGTGGGAGGTGGCGACGGCTTAGGACAACTATCGGTTGTTGATTCAATCTGTGGAACAAATTCAGCCCCAGGTATTAATAATATTTTGTCTTTTTACGCTATTAACTTAAAATTTTTTGTAGATTACTAGTATCCAATATAGATGGCTACCGAAAAAGTTATTAAACAATTTTTCTTGACAGTCAAATACGAAAAAAAAAAATTAAATTCAAATTACTTCCTTGTTATTATTTTAATATTTAAATGCTGAAACAGTCGGAATTCTTTATTTAATTATATGATATTAAAAATTTGGTAGCATCGTTTCTCTTAATGAAAAATTACTTTTTGTACGATACTAAAATAATCACCTAGACATCCAAGTAGGTAAATTGCCTATTCTACGCGCCGTCTTGATAATTAAAGTTTTCTAATTTTAAAAGAAACTTCTTTGTCGCGAAATGAAGATAGAAATATATAACAGTGTGTTTGTATGTGGCACATATAAAGATATGTTTTTCTTAGAGAATGCAGTTGAGACTATTATGTGTGACGTGACAACAGTGAGGCTGGTCTCAAGTGGCCAATTTCATAATGCTGTCACTGTGGCTGTAACACCACCCGAAGTAGAAGCTACGCCAACATTAGTGTGCCGACAATAGAACTAACGATGTTCGGAAAAACAGAAGTCTTTCCTTCCAAAAAATATAAGCCGAAGCAGATTCTGTTTTACCTTTTTTGATTAAATTAAGTTATTATTATCATTACATGTTCATTTGAATAAAAATTATAATTAATAACACAATAGTAAAAGGAATACATAAGACAAAATATATATTAAATTATAATTTTTATATTATATATTATCAAGGTATACAAGTATATATATATATATATATATATATATATATATATATTTAAAAATACATATACTTAATGTATTTAAACAACTATGCATACAAATGTATATAAATATATAAGTGTTTGCCGGACAATAACGGATACATACTAAACTGATTATAATAACACTGTTGATTATTTCATATACAACTTACTATAAAATATTTATATGTATGCCAACATTGACTTGATATGTATATTTTTTGTTTTAATTATTATAATAACACCAGTAGAATTATGTGTTTTAGTTTAAGTGTAACAATAATTGTTTCTGCATTCAAGTAACGCATTTACATTTTTGATTGCCTCTAAATGATATGCTATCGACTGCTATAAATTTAATAATTACTACAGTTATTGACCTATACAACCTACAGCTGAGTATTGCGCCTAATTGTATGCTCAAGTGTTCAAAGTATTTTTTAAAGCCGGTTGAAGCTATTTTATCCTATAGCAACTACATGTATAAACAGTGTATAAAAATAGTTCTAGGTATAACACGTGACGTACAAGACTTTCAACATTTAGTACACAATTTGATACTATTTGACGATATGTAGTTATACATCTCCACATTCGTCCGAATCCAAACATTTTATTAAAATATAATAGCAACATAATATATCAACAAAAAAGGCAGTAAGCCGAAAATAGTTCTATTTATTATCGTTATCGCTAAACATTAATACGAGTATTTTGATATATTATTTTTTAAGATTATAATTTTATTATTCGTCTAAAATCGCAGTCTGGTTAATTGACATAAAATACACATACGATTTGTTTGTCTTTGCAATTTACCTACAATATAATACATTTCTCTATTTTTTCTATGGGGTTTAGATGATTGATGGCAAAAAATATAGTTATATATCGATGATGTAAGTTATAAAAGATAATGAACACAGTAACGTTNAATACACATACGATTTGTTTGTCTTTGCAATTTACCTACAATATAATACATTTCTCTATTTTTTCTATGGGGTTTAGATGATTTGCATAGATGGCAAAAAATATAGTTATATATCGATGATGTAAGTTATAAAAGATAATGAACACAGTAACGTTCAATTATTATTTATTAGGTATAAATATTTGTTTCGATTTTTTCAAGGGTAAATATATCTATGCAGCTATAGATGTCAGCAATTAGGTTAAGGTCTATTTTATATTTTACATATAACATTATTATTATCATTACAAGTAAATTATATTATCATTATGCTTAACTCTATACCGCTTAAAAACAAATTCATTATAGACGCTTATTATTTTAATTTAATATCTATTTAGGTAACCATGTCTTTATGTCTTTTTTTTCTTATATCTTTACGATACGTCTTTTTTTATTTTTATGCAATTTCTCAATCATTAAAAATATATATTTTTGTCTAATCCGAATAATTTATTATTTAATTAAGCCAATGATGACATAATTTTCACATGAGCAAAACAAATCATTCTATTCTAAGTACTCACTAACATTAGATGCTAATGGTTTGCACGTATTATAACGTAAAGGAAGAGCTTTATTCGTCAAATTAGAGTTAATTTTTTTTATTTAAGAATTTTTTTTATTTCTGTGTTGAAAAGGAAGTTTAGATAACGTAGAAATACGATTGCAAAAACTTTAAGTTTATTTTTTTTACGGATAATTTATTATATGAGCTTTGCTAAAACATAATTTCATTAGATAACATGCAAGTAAAATAACATTTCCTATCAATTAATATTCTTAAATATTATATGCTCTTATCGTTTTATATGCTTTCATCTTATGCCTTAGAAATAATAACAGTCATACAATAGTTTTTAGAATTGACTTATTTTACAGCAAAAGCATATTATTACTATTTTTTTTTTAACTTTGGGTCATTTTCGTTAACAATAAAAAATTGTCTTAGATAAAATTAGGTATACAAGTAAGTATAAATTAGTATATTAAAATACAAAGCATTGTTTAAAAAAGAGCTTCTGCATTTGCTTTCAAAAGAACAGTCTGATTTTGATATGCCTGGATTTCAGTAACAGTACAAAATCACCAAGTAAAGATACGTAAAAAAAAAATTTGTACTAATTTGGCAAAAAATATTTGATTTAAGTGAATACAGAATAATATATTGTTTGATATGTAATGGATATGTACCACGATTATATTTTGCAAAATTCCTAAAAACTCACGAGTTCCTATATATTTTTGGGTATAAAAATATGAAAAAACCATCTTTGATTCATAGAGTCATTTAAAATAGATTAGTATACAACACAATCAAATTCATACAAAAAACATTTGTTCTCAAGCTGTTAAACACACATATACATATAAACGTAATTGAGCTATAAAAATGGTACTTAGTTGTAAATAATCGTTAAAGAGCTAAGATTGTCTGAGTGTTGATATCGTGATCCCAGTGTATGGACGAAATGGATTTGAGGTTAAAGAACGTGCTCTGAACCACTATAATAAGTTTATTGCGATCACTTTAATCTCTATCGGTAATCGCATATCCTAAGTATTATAGTCGTCTAACAGATAGTACTATGTAAATATAATTATTTATAATTACTTAATTTAACATAATATAACGAGCGTGTCACGTTTTTTATTTTGTACGTGTCCCCTCTCGTCGTTGCAATAGGGTTAAAAGCTATTTCCACTTAATTATTTAATATTCATTATTGTAATTCTAATATATTTAACCATACATTAAATCACGTTTAGTCTAATACTTAAATATCACGTTTAAGTTGTTTTTGAATTATAAATCTATAGTTGTATAAAATGATACGTGTAATTTACGATTTGATATGCATTGTTAATCAACCTAATTAGTATCCTCATCAGTGCAGGAGGCGTTCTGAGAAATTCACGCTCATCAGTCCTTAGCCTATTGAGTTAACTCAGTAATTTTCAATTCTAAGTTTTAAGTATTTTTATGTTCACTCTCTCTCTCTCACTACTTTTTTTTTTTAGAATAGCTCACATATTATCAACATTAAGGTGACACATATGATCGAGAAGACATGTTGGTTAGTAGCGGCAGACAATTGTATAGACGTGTAGTTGTCGTTGACATTGGGAAATAGTTCGCTGAAATCTTCACAGGCGTTTTTACTAGCTTCTTTCAATGACTCGGCTGTAAACATTATACAAACAAAGTGTAAAATAAAGTTTTTCCTGGGCATTAAAGTCATTAGAATTTAATGTACTGAAACTAACCAATTTTTGGGAAAAAGCCATTCCAGAATTGGCACTCAGTTGCCCTAGGTCCGTAGCCCACTTCCAACTTGGCTGCGTTCCACACATGGTAGATGGGCTTTGACTCGTTGTATAATGGCCATTCGATATCATCTGATACTGGAGTACTGTTTGAAAAAAATCAATTACTTAAATATTGAAATAATAACACGAAGAAAAATAATTGGTACGTAATTCAATTGTCTTTTCATCGAAAATAATTAATTTAATTAACATTAGACCAAAGTCAAAAAATCAATTTCCAAATTATTATCAAGGTTCTATTTTGTTAGATAGCAGTGTTGATAGAATAATTTAATTTTGAAAAAAAATCTTTAATTGATAATTCACAACAGTTTGATAAAAGTCTTAAAACGCAACGCATGTCTGTTTTATAACTTATCCATTAATAAATAATTTTATTACTAAATTATATACAATATTAAAAAAATGTAGACACTTAAAACTACATATTTATTACTTCTTTAGTAAAAATTATTGGTACTCTCAGTGAAGACAAATTATTATTTTGTTTTTATAATATTAATTTGATTATGAAATTTATTTTTCTTCGTAAGGCACAACAAAAATTAATTGCACTGCGAAAAAAACCCAAGAAAACCTTCAATTCGCATGCTTAGGTAAGATACTTCAGAATTCGGTAAAAATCAATAGGTCATGGAAATGTATCCTAAAATCGAGTGTTTAAGCTAAAAACAGTAGCTATGTATACGATATCCGTGCTAATATTTTCTATTCGATTTCGTGTAAGTTGAAATTCACTAGATGACACTAAAAATTCTATTGAGGTATAATTAGTGAGAGCAAAAAGTCATTTCAGAGTCGACATGAAAAATATAATGCTTGTCAAGAACACTGGCAAAGAACGAGGTAATTTCAATAACCTATGTGATAAGATAAACGTTTTAAAAATGTAACGGAAAGTAAGTTTCATGGTAAAAATGACGAGATTTTTTGCTATATGATAAGTTAAGAAGTGGAGCTATTTCAATTTTGTACAGTCTTTCTATTGTACATACAATTTCGATTAACAGTGAAATAAAACTTATATCGATAAATGATGTATTAAATTAAGTAATACAACATTTAAAATGTAATCATTCGCGATAGTTTTGTAATCAGACAATAAAAAATGAATATTGTACATAATATATCGATTGTACTATAAATTCGATATTGCTTATGGAAACGGTAATGGCTATGTGGTAGTAAAAATAAAATACTGTATAGTCCAAAGACGTGATTAGAGAAATAGTGTAATTTAGTAGCTGAGCAGCATTTCCGGTACTTGAGTTGACCGGAAAGAACCCGGAAAATTTTATGACATTTAAAACGTTTTATAATTTAGCGTGGGGTCACCACTTCACAAGACGGTCGATAGTAGCTCATGTGTAATCATTTGCATTCTCTGTTGTGCTACAGATATAAAAATAATTTTACAGTTTTGGTTTATATAACAGATATTGTCACTGTGTAATCATAAATGGTAGCAGAGTTTAAAAATATTACTGTATATATATATATATATATTATAATTATAATTCATTAAAAAAGTATAAATTTGGCGATGTTAAAATATTTTTGTACATTGTAATAGATATATTTTAATGGCTTTAAAAAAAAATTATCGAGTTGTAGGCTATTAAACAAAAATATTATTATACTTATATTTATAAGTAAATATTAATTTGACGTTAGTAGTGATATTTCTGTATGAATGTAATGATACATTTCAAGCAATTAAAGTGAAAACTTATTCATAAATACAAGAACCATATTTTGCATGTAAGAAATGTATTAAAACACATACAATGAAAATTGTAATCTTTTTATTAATGAATTTGCTGTGTTAAAATGTTAACATTGTATATCCCATGTTTTAATAGGTTATTTTACGAAATATATACCGAAATTTTGTTTCAAGCTTATTTCAGTTTATAACATACATCAACGAAATTAAATTAAGAAACGTATTATTCAGAAATTAAGTTTAACATTTATGCAATTCCTCGGGAACATAATTATAGTTGATATTTTCACTGTACACATTAAATTACTGAACCCAAAATTACTTTAATGTTTAATAACAATAATTTTGCAACTACAAATTTACTGCCGAATGGGCATGTGTTTTGCGTTTTGTGACAATAACAGAAAAAAAGGAAAAAACTAGAAGATGCTAGGGATTTGGAGGGTGTCCATTTTATTGCGCGCAATTTTCTTTCCAACTACTGTTAATAATAACTTGGCTCTAAAATGTTTGAGAAAATTACAAAATATTATAAAACCTCACTAGGAAAAAACTATTTGGACGTCGATATAATGTAATTCTATCTATTTAGTATAATTTGATTATGATTGGGAACGATGCAATTATGATGATAAATTTTCATGTCACTTTAGCAAATGAAATTTGGTTAGAATAACTTAACTTGTGATATCTTTGTTTTTTATAATAATATTTTCATGTAACATAAGATAATAATTACTTAGAAAGAAAAATATATATACATTTGAACTTTCAAACTTGATTATAGAACTCATTTATCACAAATAATATTGAACATTTTACTATTACTTTTTTTCGGTTGAACTTCCATCGTTATGAATTCATAACGACTAAATAGAAAATATTATGAGAATTTTAAAAATGTTATTGTTACAGAAACTTAAAATTTCACACAACTCTTTAATTACTTAATCAAAACAAATTTGGAAAATTTTAAGAAAAAAAATTAATTAATATTTTTTTTATGAATTTTTAAGTGTGTAACCATCGTTCAATACTAATTAATGATTATTTCATAAACTAGATGCGATAAAATAAATCTAAAACTGGATTTAAATTTAGTAGCAATATTTCATGAGGATTCATCTAAATATTGTAAACGGTAAACATTTTTATTTTGTCTTGTGTTATTTTTTCTTACATCTCATGAAAAGAAATTATCCTTTCAAAGGACACAGTTATATGTAACTATTATTTCCTTAGCTACTTGAGTAAATTTATAAATTATAAAAGTTTTTAAATAATATACATTTGAGTAATATTTAATTAGAGAGATATTTTTACATTCATATTGCATATAAAAAAATAATACGCCGTCAGTTTAAAACTGTTTTTAATTTTAGATAATTAAATTTTTAAATACAGTTTTCATTTGGTATTTACCCAGTTAATGAAAATCTAGTAAACGCTTCCATGATCCGTATACTTAAATCTCGTTCTCTAGCATTGTATGGCATCGACATATTCAACGGATGTCCAAACACGTACTGCATTTCATCTCCATGCATTACCCCCATCCATTCGGCCCACAAATGTGAGTCAGTTCTCTACAGAAAAATGATCTATTTAAAAATATCCTTCAACAAAAAGACAAATCTTTTCTATAGGCATTTAACATATAAGTAATATTTGATTAATTTAAATTAATTTTGATAATCATGATTTGATATTTTCTATTTTTAAGATTAAATAATTAACTTACTAATATTTAATTTTTAAATATTAGTAAGAATAGTAATTTTAAATCTTTTACAGTTAAAATTTCATTTACTAAGCATTTTTTATGCAAAATATTTCATTACATGTGTAAAGAAATAGTAATAGACTCGGGCTCCTCGGTCAGCAACGATGTTAGCAAAGTGATTGGTTGGACACACAAAAAAGTAATCAGCAACAATGTCACCCAGTCTTTTTTGGTTTGAGTAAGGGTCGTCCAGTTCTCTTTTTTCCCATACAGAGTACTGAAACACATCATTAAATATATTTAATTTAATCAATGAAATATAGCCAAATATTACAAATAAAAATAATTTATTCGACGAATAAACAGGGTAAAAAGTGTTCGTGGTGTAACAGAAGATTTTGGAATAAGAGTAGGAGTGCACTAAGGTTTAGTATTAAGCCCATACTTATTTTCTGTAATGATGGACGAAATTACTAAAAAAATACAAGAAGCATGTTTTACGCTGACGATATAGTGTTAATATAAAAAAAACCAGCACAGGGGGGTCGCGGCACAGTGGTGACGTGGCATAGATGGATCAAGTATAATGATATCTGACAGTGAATAAAATCACTATAAAAAAAAAACGCTTCGATGCAAAACTTTAGATAGTGTTTAATTTTAAAAAATTGTTGGATTATTCCAAAAGCTACATGATCTGCTAGTTCATTATTAATATCCTAATTAAGATAAAGTATATGGAATGAAAAAGGGATTATTAAAAAATATTATTTCTAATAAAAAAATAATGTTGATCCATACACTTTTCAATATGTCATAGCATTATAAAGTTAAAAATGTTAAAATAAAATCGAGAATTTTCACACAATAATAGCATTTGGTAGCCATTTTCACCGTGAAGATAAAATAAAGTCCGAAATTTTTTTTTTTCATGATAAAGTATATTACATTAGCTTTAATTTAAGATATATATAAAAGTGTCAGACCTTCCGGAACATTTTCAAAAATCAAGTTGAAAAAATTAATTTTTTGTGAAAAAGTTGTCATTTTAAATCCCCTCCTGTGGGCAAGTAAAGGGTCACATATAAAAAAAAATATACTAAATGAAAGGTAATGATATCATGCATCTACAAAAAAATAATTATATTGATTCAGTTATTTTTAAAAAAGTTACGGCAGTTTTTAGTAAAAAAAATTGAAAAAATTTCGAAAATTAGCGATTTTTAAATTTGTAATTTTTTTTAAGGTTTCCCTATTTACGGGGAACGAGGGAATTTTTTTCAATTTTTGAGGGTAATGTCTTCGACTAGAAAAAAAAACACATCTCAGTAAAACCAATACCTTCTCAGCTTCGCATCGAAGCTAAAACCAGGGAGAAAATTAATCAAAGATTAGAGGTGTGGAGATTATATCCTGAAGGAAAGATATTACGAATAAGTAGGAGTAAAACAGAGAATATAAAGTACTAGTTTGACAAAGGAGAACACGAGGTAAGTGAAATGAAAAACGGAAAGTTTGAAGTATTTAGGATTAGTTGTGCAAATGAACGGTAGTATTGACGGGGATATAAGAAACAGGATTAAGTGCAAGTGGGTGAAGTGAAGAGAAGCGTCTAGTGTGTTATGCGATAAGAGAACTTTATTGAGACTGAAAGTTAAGTTCTAAAAGACTGTAGTGATACCAGCTATGGTGTATAGTTTAGAGTGCTAGGCGGTGAAGAAGAGGGTAGAGCAGAAACGAGAATGCTTAGATGGATGAGTGGAGTGACTAGAGAAGATAAGAGAAGAAATGAATATATAAGAGGAAGTATAGGTGTAGTGTCAATCTTGGATAAGATAAAGGAAAAGAGACTTAGACGGTTTGGCCATGTTATGAGGAGAAAGGAATCGGAAGCTATAAGAATTGTTATGGAAATAAATGTTGAAGGAAAACCAAAAAAGAAATGAAGGATGTTATTGAATGCGATATGTGGACGGATGATGTGTGCATAGATGATGTGGGAGATGGTGTAAAATGGAGTTTTAGGGTAAGGGTGACCAACCCCAAGTAGTTGAGATAAAAGCGAGGAATAAGAAGAAGATTCAATAAATGAACAAAAGTTATATTGAATAGTTTTTTAGGCTTTAAATCATTTAAGAAATGGATACTATGCAATTTTTGTCGAAAGTAATAGGCTTCATTTTCTTAATAAAACAAATTGATTATCATTAAAAATTTATTTCGAGCAATTATTTTCAATAATTACACGTTTGTTAAGAGTTTTAAAGTTAATGACCACGAATAACTTTTGATCGTGATTCACACGTCGTTGAACAAACTGGTCATCTACTACTCAGTCCTAATTGTATGTAAAAATAATAAACGTATGAGACATCAGTCATGCTTGACTATTTAAGTTGTCTAGAGAAGACATGTTTATATTTAAATATAAATACTACTTTATTAAAAATAATCTCAAGAAAATACTTTTTAATCACATAAATCTCACTCGAAATTAATCAAATTGTTCACAAATCGTTACATTTTTGGCGTGGCCTTCTTAGTCATCGACTCTATAGGTCTCCCGTCCAATTAAATTAAACAATAAAAAATTAGAAGGTCGATAACATGACAGCGGAACCTTATGAATGTCATATTTTTACTTTATACTTTTTATTTTCTATTCATTGTATACAATTATATTTCACCGTCAGACATTTATTATCGATTCATTACTTTTTATACCCACCTTTTTTCCGTAGCTTTAGGATACGTTTCAAACACTAAATATTTGATTTGTACCAAATCTTATATAAACACAATGTAAAATTATCCACATTGCAAGTTTAGTTTACATTTTATCGTAATCCAAACCCCATCGATTTTCGTGTTTTTGGATATTTTATGAAATAGAACAGGTTTTAATGTAAAATTATAACTATTGATTGTGTGAAATTATTTAGTGAACCATATATAGCTCCTATTACAATTATAGGGAATTTAATCAAAGTAGTAATAGTGTCAAAGTATTACTAGTTTAACGCTCATACCGAGTTACTTTATATAATGTGTTAAATTTTTCATAGGTTAATATTTTTAATTAGGATATATGAATAATTTTAACATGATATAAAACATTACTTGATAAATTATGGCATCCCTTTCTAGTTGTGTTCTGTCTTTAAATATCACGTTAATAATATGTTCAAATTTATCTTTTGTCAGCTGAGTGGCTGACTCTCGATTGAAAAAATCCACAAAATCGTATAGTAGAAAATATGTACCTGAAAATAAATTGAAATTAAATGATTTAAAACAATTATCAATTCAAAATTATTAATACGATGACGAACATCTTGAAATATATTTGAATTCATCACATCACTAAAACTTATTAAATGACAAATAATCAATATCACCCTTTAATTAAAAATATATAAATATATTTAATTTATTTGAGCCTTAAAAAAATAATAATGATTAAACAATACCAATTAGTTATATTGATAAAATATTTATATTATTATCATGAAATAGAATAGTATATAAGTCAGATCAGAAATAAGAAACTGAACAAACACTATTTCATAATAGATTAACATCAAGCTATTATAGCTTATAACTTTATGAATGATACGCAAATTTTCTCTAATTATGTTTAGATTTTTGACTGTTGTTATTTGTATTCAGTGAAATTTTGATGAGAGGAAATGTGGTATAGAATTATCCTCAATAAATAATTGTTTAACTACCTTTTCTTACGTTTCCATTATTTTAGTATAAAATTAAAACATTACTATGATAACCCTCACATTCTATCGAATGAACTGGCAATAGTGATTCTTTAACATAATGCAATAATTGTACGACCAAAGCGAAAAAGTAGCTACACGTATGTATGGAAATAACAATAATTAATGGTAGGAATGGAAACACTGAAAAATTGCTTTTGTTTGAGAAACTGGAGAAAAGCTTACACGAGCGCTTTTATTCACATTACCTACGACGGACAATAAAGGTCAGTTGTGTTTTGTTTTGTAAATCATCAGTAAGGTTTGTATGTAAGTATAAAACCGTATACACACATCCTTTGTATACTGAATCATATCGTTTTAATCAATAATGAAAGTTTTATTTTTATACGACTTTTCAAGTATGTTGGAAAAATAAAAACGTTTTCATTTTTAAATGAACAATGCAATTAGCACAAAAATTGTAACGCAGGATTTCGCGTGTACGTTTTTGTTTGAATTTTTTCTTGCACAACTTGCAACATTTAGGAGTGCCCTATGCTTCCCTTTTGTTCGCTTTGAAGTATACTTGAAGTATTGAGCGAAGTGTTTTAAAAATAATAACTAACGATAAGTTAATATAAGCCTGCAAAGACAATTACTTATGGTTTTCAAAAGGGACGCAGTTAAAATTCATGATCGATAGAAAACCGTTGTACAGTAGACCGAAACATTTTATGAAAACTCTTATATACTGGCCATTTATTTTTCTTAGTGTGACATTTTATAGTAGGTTGTGATAATCTCTAAAATGACGAATTGACATGGAGAAATACATTCTCAGCGACAAAAACTTCCATCATATATTTTTTTTTTTAAGAAGAAAAAAGTAGGTCACTGCACGGAATAGATCTGAACTCTTTTTTTTTTTTGATGTTAAAACGCGGTCTCTCATTCGTACTCACAAAAAAATCATTCAACGTGGTGTATAATATAAAAAAACGAGAAGACATTTCTACAAGCCCTATAATTTCCCCGTTGAATCATATAAAAAGTCCATCGTACTTAAACACTTTTAATAAAATGGGTCTCTATAGTAGTATATATTTCACGCAAAATATAAAAACATAAAGTTTTTTTTCTGTTAAATTTTTATTTTAAAGTCGATCGTGTGTCCAATTCGACAAGGTTCCAAATGCGCATCGTCACTTGATCACAGGCGGCATCGTATATTGGATAAATATTGATCTTAAAAACCGTTAAATAATATAAAGGGTCAAAATACAAAGACTCTAGTTTTTTTTTTTTTTTGTAAAAAGCGTATGTTTTAGACATTTATGCTTATTTCCCTTCAAAAAAAAAAAGGTAATGAGCAACGAAAGTCTTGATACATTAACTTGTAGACTTGGACTAAATAGAGAACATTTCATTTAAAATACTATAACGCAATGTTGTTAAATCATTTTTTGATAAATTTGGAATTACTTGTCTTCGATAATTTGATAAAATATGACTGACACATTTTTCCTTTCCAAAAATTTATTTTAAATGACCAGATACCGTTGTCATTTTTACACGCAATAGCGACTTAGCGGACCCGATGGAAAACAGGTCATAATGTTATGGAAGATATTGTGACATAATTATTAGTTTGGCTTGTAGGGTTACTGGTGCGTACCGTGTTTGCGTTTGAAAGTGGCAATAGGATTACTCGGTGTGAGGTGAATAAAAAATAACATTGCTGTAACTCGTTCGACAAAACTATATAATAGTGTTCAAGAAACCCAACAGAATGAACTGGACGTACCTAAACAACTTGATATGCACTGGAACCAAAATATAAGAACAACATTTTCTGAAATCGATTTTCTGGCATTCTATGAATATAAAACTCGCATCTTACAAACAAAATATTTTTTGTTCTTTTCATCGAGTCATGGTTGTTCATTTAATCTTTTCATTTAAGATTATTAACACTTTTATTTATAAATTATATTCATAAGCTTAGAATAACATGATTGTTTTTCTTTAAGTAATTCATAAACTATACTTGTCAGCTCTTTTTACTCTTATCTTAATAATAAAACACTATGTGTAAAACCCTAAACTTATATTTATAAAAACAAACTATATTAATGTCGCATAAAACATCAAAGTGATTTGTATACTGATTGCTCATGAGAGTCTGTCTCTAGATATTCAATATTCTGTTCCAATCGCACTCTCAACATCATCACGCATAATTTATGATCATCATTGTCGTATTTCTCAAGTGTTTAGGTTGCAAACTGAACTGATTTGTTTTTAATTATTGATTAATATTATTAATAAAGATATTGTGAGAAACAGGGAAATTATCAGGTAAGATTTTAAAAGACAATAAGAATCTAAATGTATGTCATTATATAACCCTCGAACAACACCCCGAAATAAAGTAACTCTTCTTTTTACTCAACACTCATCACGACTACCAATTTGCCGGTTATTTTCAGTTACGATAATATGCATAAATATACCTCATTATATAATAAAAATATTAATAGTTATACGAGCAGTTGCGTGTTCATAACTTGTTACCCTTGTGGAGTTTAGTCAACACTAAATTACATAATTATTTCATTTGCTGTTACAACAAATAGTATTATTTTTGTTTCTTTAAATTAAAGGCAATACATTTACAGCCGCTTTACACTCATTACATTGTAATACAGACATCCGTTTTGAAACACGGATATTTTAAACAATAGAAAGCAAAAAAAAAAGTAATTTTAAATGATAATTTCACAAAAATAATGTATAATGCATTGAAATATTCTATTATCTAAAAAATCACCATAAAAAAAGTTTTTAAAGTTAAAATTACTCCAAATAAGTTTATCTAATACACAGAAGTTACATCACAAACAGTGGATATGATAAAATGTCGAGTTCAAATAAATTTTATTTTCATAATTAATCTACATTTACTTATTAGAATACGAATACGTACACAAAAATAGAAATGTGTACTAAAATATAAAAAATTATATTTGGTTTATTGTACCAGCTTTGACCTGATTCTATAAAACACGCGATTCGTGTTATCGACAGGCGACTGGCGCAATTGTCATTGAACGTTGACGCCCAAATAGATATATAAAAACTTTTTTTTAATTTATATACATATATATTTTTAATTTCTTCCTATTAAAATTTTTAAATAAAGCAATACATATATTTTTGTATAGGACGTGGTGAACTAAGTCACTAAACTCATTTATTTAAACTTTTAGAGTATAACATGCGTAAAATGGTTTTTTCTGTATTTTTGACTTTGCTTAAATACCAAAGTGTCGGGAAAATTAGCTGAAATTTTCAACTTATACAACGCTAGACATTCATTTTTAATATAAAGAACATGTTATAAGATTAAATTAAATTTATGTTTTAACGTTCGCGTCCTCCGAGACCACTTCCTTTAAAAATATTCCCCTGAACAAAATCAGGTAATTAAATTCTGCTCGCAGAAAATGATGAAATATCAACAGTAAACATTTACTAAAGTCATCATGAAAATTATCCAAACATTAATTTAAATTATAATTTAATAAAACATATGATGACACCTAATCACATTGATAAAATATATATCAATCGAACTATTGAACAACTACATTTTCCCTGTAATTTAATTGATAATTATCAATTTGATTACAGGAAAAATTAGATTATAATTTAATAACAGATAATTTTAATTCTATAAATCATTTTTCAGAGATAAGTATCATCAGCATACGAACAATTATTTCCAAAAAACATCGATAAAAATTATGGTGATTCCGAGAAAAGAGGTTAATCAGTTTTAAGATATTTTAATGCAACATACTACTTTCGATCTATTCTATGAAAATCAGAATGACATACAGATATTAGTTGTAATCTCAACATTTTATAAACATTTCGTAGAATATCATACAACCTCAAAAATAATGAGAACAATAAATTTTTAATATCAAATAAAAATTTAAACGCGACGTTTGTCACATCTCAACGGTTGATAAATTGAAACTCAATGATATAAAAAACACAGAGAAAATTAAATTACCATCAGTAGAAATATTGAAATATTTAAATAATTGGATCACCAATAATATATTTTCAGTTCTTCAATAGCTTATAAATATTAAGTATTGATTTTATTCAAGATTTTTTGAAATTTAATATTTAGTTCAAATAATTAATGGAATGTTAATCAATATTAAAATATGTACCTTCAATCAATCATTAATATCACATTCATTTTTTAATGTTTTTAATACAAAAAAATTAATATTATAGAATGCTATATAATTTTGCAAAAACTTCAATGGTGTACATTAAGTTGTATTTATTGATACAAGAAAAATTTAGGGACAGGGAATAAATTTGTTAATTTTTCTAAGATAGAAGTAAAATAAATCGAATTTTTCATTTATTGATCTTGTCAATTTTCTACGAATTTACAGTTCATAGAAAAACAAAAGTAAATATTAAATTCAAAATCAATTTTCTTTTCTAAAAATTACTTTTTTAATTTCTTAAAGGAGATGGTCTAAGTTCCTAAGCTTTCTAAATTCATCTTCTGTTGCACGACCTACTTCGAAATAATCTGGACACACCTTTGTTTACAAAATCTTAACGAGAAACTTAAAATCAATATGTTTACATTTATTTTTATTTAGCCATTTATATTAATAATATAATCGGCAACAGTCAAGTTTGATAGAAAGAAATTGTTTGTAAGACATGTATTTTGTGAAGTAAATCCATTAGTTTTAAAAGCATAATTCATTTTTACCTGCAGAGTAATTTAAAAAACTTAACGTACCAACGCTATAAAAAGTTACTAACCAACGCTAAAACTTGTCGTGCAAAGTATTTCACATTTTGATAAAACAAAAACTGCAAATCAAAAGAAATTTATATTTAAAAGTGATAAGAATAAACATTTTAAAATAAATAAATCCATATTTTCAAATATAATATTCAATCAAAACAGATTATTAAGGCACTGAAAGTAATTTCAATGAATAATTATCTTTGAAATATTTTTTACCTTTTGAAAAGTTCAGATAAAGTTCAAATTTAGATTTAGTATTTCTTTTTATTTAAGTATTAAACATTCTGATTATTTTGTAACTTTTTTCGTTAACCTGAAATAGTTTATTTAAAGTTTCTTTTAAAAATTTTTTCCCACCAAACATTAATTTCCATAATAATACTTTTTCAAACGGCATAAGGTTTTATCCCAAAATAAACTTTATCTCGAATGACTTGAAAAATTATCTCTTAGAATATAATAAGGTTTATTACTTTTTTAAATATCACTATTATATAATTGTATTTGTACATACATTTTTTTACTGAACCAATATTTTTGATCATAACAAAAAAAAGACACCGAAAAATATTTAGTTGAAGACGTACGTTGAAAGTTCGGAAAAATACCTCTCGGTGAATTTATTACCTAAAAAAAATATCTAAGAATGATAATCTTTGGATACGGCTAATTTTTATATTTTAATTTTAAATTGCTAGAACTTTTTGAAAATTTTATTCGTTGCTTAGGTCACCGAAATAATATAAAAATGATACTAATATGAAAATAATTCAAAAAATGAATGTAATGATTTGTCGCGTAAGTAATGGCGTTTTGATGTGCTATGTAAGATAAACCGTTTTCCCCTTTTACAACTTAACTTATTAGAAAGGACATTGGAAGAAATAAATAGAAATTTAATTAATTTAAGTATATAAGTAAATTAATTATTAATATTTATATTACAATTGTATTTAATGAAAAATCTACTAATAAGGATTGGTATGAAAAAAATTACAATTGTGTTATAACAATAAACATATGATGGTGAAAAAATTTAACTATTAGAGTAATTTTTTAGTTAGATAATTAATACCTAATAATTTAATATGAAAATCGCAATCCGATAATGACATTTAGCATAGAGAAAAAAAAACGAAATTATATCAAGTTTTGATAATTGTTTCACCTTTAAATGATTGAAATGCATTTTACTCAATAAAACAACTTTAAATAAAAATGAATAACAGTTATATAGTTTTCTAATAAAATGTATTATATCAGTTGTTTGTGTTATTATTACCTTCATTTAAATTGCTACCAATGAGTATATCGATGTCAGAAAAGTTTGCTTTTTTTAACATATCCAGAGGATGTTCTGGCATAAACAAACCATCTACCGTTGGTGCCGATGGAAATCCCAGAATTCCAGAATAACTATTCCATTGTTTTTTTGATATTGTACCTGCGTCAACGGAACGCATACAAGACATAGCGGAATGCCAATTGATTGTTAAGTCCGTCGAATTACATTTACAATCATCCAACAATTTTTTAGCTATTTCTAAAGCTCGTTCGCCACTCATGTAACTCCATGGTGCATTAACTGTTCCTGATTGTAATATACCACGTCGTACTAGCCCTCGTGTGACAGGTGATATTAAATGCACACTAACCTAAAAACATGCACACATTTAATCAAAATTACATTGTTTATAGGAAGCAAAATAACAGAGTTTCAATAAGAATTAAGGTTTTAACTACTTTTTAATCAAAAAGTATATATGTTATATCATTAAACAGTTTTGGTAAGTAATTAATTCCAAAAAGAACGGATGCTTGAAACAAGTTTTTTTTGTAGGAATGAAACGACATTAATCAATTTATAAAATTTCAATTGTAAAAAAAACATGACTAATGATGAAGTCTGCAAATGAATTAAACATAAAAATAATACTCACTGAACCACCACCAGCAGATTCTCCAAATAAAGTTATAGTGTCTGGATCAGCTCCAAAAGCTTCTGCATTAGCTTTTATCCATCTAATGGCCATCGCTTGATCCCATAGCCCCATGTTCCCAGGAGCATCGTCACTGTCTTCGGGCAGTTCGGGAGCCAAATAGAGCGACCCAAATGCACCAAGTCTGTACTGCATTGAAGCAATCATGATGTCAAATGTTGCAGCCATCAAGTCACCATCGTAAATATCAAGAGTTGACGTACCGGACATATATCCACCGCCGTAGATCCACACTAACACTGGTATCTGAATAAATAAAAAAATAATCTAAAACCCGTTAAATAAATGTTATACATCAACAATAATACATTCGAAATAACAATAATTGTCACAACACTTTTTTAAGCAGAAAAATCTAATAAATGAAATTGTCTAATAAAATGTAATTGTCTCTACAGAAATGTTTTTCATTTAAGAATGCAAGCATTTTTCATATCAAATATAACATAAATTTTCTATGTTTTTACCATACAAGAAATTTCACTGTCTCTCACATATTTATGACCGTTCATCTCGGCTTTTATAATCACTATTTATATTTTTAATTCAGCCCTAGTGCATTGTAATGTAAATAATATTTATGTTTTAAATATTTAGTTCTCAGAGAGAGCAATCACTAAGAAAATAAGACAATATATTTGCATTCATTTTACCTCAAGATTTATTCAAATTAGCAGTAACCAATTGCATGCAAGCCATTAATTTTAATTAAAAACTGTCATGATAAATATTTTTAAATAATTAAAAGTAAACTATCGGATAAGTTTTATTTATTAAAAAAAAAAATAAATTTTATTACATTAATGTTCTAAATTTTTATTATTACTAAAAATTTAATTTATTCGGACACCTGAATTATAAATCTAAGTAATTTGCAGTTGATAAACTGTATTGAAGTCCGGAAGTGTTGTTTAAGTAAGAATTATTAGCACTAGACAGGTTATTCTAAACTGACCCTTCAGTATAATTTCTTACCTTCCACTAGCTTTATTTTATCGTTGTAGAAATCAGACAATTATATTGTTCTATTTACCATACATAATAACTATTATATAGAATGTTTATTAAGTGAGGAAACGGGTTTCTATTGTTGTCATTGTTTGTATAATTTACCCGTTTCCTTACTTATTGAACACCCTGTATTCTGTATTTACTATAATACTATTGTGCAGCTATCCTTTAAAAAATGTTTTTCGTGAACTTGAATCTTCCTTTATCATCTTATATACATATTTATATTTATATAAAACCAAATGCAAATTATAAATAATTTCGGCTTTCAAATATTATACATAACTATATCGAGTTGGTTTAGAAAGATAAACAAAATTTAATCATGATTAATGTTTTCTATATGTAAATTGAACTTTATTAGAAAATAAAATGATAATTAAATATTTAAGTTTCTATTAAACTTCTAATATTTTACTTGTAGAGTTCTAATGTAAATATCTTTCAGGTAATAAAATAAATATTTACCGTTTTCAATTACAATCTGCACTATAAACATATTATTTCATATATCATAGATTTGTAAAACTGCCAAAAAAGTGTCGAATACACTAGTTTTTTTAACTAGTGATAACCTTATATATATAATTTAATTTTACATTTTTAAATGGAAAATATAGCTTTTTAAAAGCGATTATTGAAATCATAATTTTATAAAAAGCATGGATGTATTTCAAGCATCATAAACTACGAGTAGAGAAAAATAATATTTAGGATGCTAAATAAACGATTCAATTAAATTAAATTGCTGTATTGAATTACCAAAGTAAATAACGTTTTTACCGGTGTTCTAGTAAGCTTTAAACGGTACATTTTTCAATTAATAATGATGTAATTTAGTTATAAATAGCCAAAAGTGATTTGGGATTAAATAATAATAATTCATCTACTAATAAAAGTCAAACTTCTTTCTGCTCGAATTGAAGCAATTGACATGTCTCGTTGAATGTGTTTTCATGTGCAATAAAAAAAGATTTATACAAAACTTGACTTTGTTTTCTACTGATTACCTTTGAGTGATGGGCTGCATTTGAATGGTGTCTCGTACGTTGTTTGCGTGGCACCCATATGTTCAGGTACAGACAGTCTTCCGACAACTTGGTATTAGGGTTCCACATTTCTTCTCCTTCGAATCCTGGAAAATACTCATACCGCTCCTGATAACACGTATTGGGCATTTTGGTAGCATTCAACACTCCTGGCCATGGATCTACTGGCACTGGCCGACGAAACCTTAATGGTCCTAGTGGTGGTTTGGCGAATGGTATGCCGGTAAACACTCTGACCTCTTGGTTAGCTATGATCTTCGTATAGCCTCGTACTAAGCCAGTAGTTGTGGCTACTACTGGATTTTCATCACCATCATCCCCAGAACCTCCGTTGGTTCCTCCACCGCCATCATTTCCACCACCATTACTTCCGACCCCGATAGTGGATGGTCTACTCGACACGGTGGCACAACACAACAAAAATGTTATTGTTGTGCTGCAAGTGCAAATGCCACTGCCAAAACGCATAGCGTTTATGCTGCACCAACAAGCTCTGCAAATTAAACGCAACATTGAATTATTTCAAGTAGGTAATTATTACATAAGTATTTTTATATTATGTATTATGCAAAATTAAAGATTTAGACTAACAGTAAAAATATTTCTCCGGTTTTTCATATAAGTATTTCACAGTTTATTACCAGAAAATATGCTAAAATTATTTTATGTTTAAAAAAACCATATAAATCTTTGGAAGTTTTAAAATTCAAATCAATTTTATTTTACTATATACTGTAAAAAATGACAAATGCAAAATAAAAACTAATCAACAATTTTGCACGCATTAAGTTATTTTTATCAGTTTTACATCCTTCTATTTCTCGAACTTAACATGCTTTAGAGGGCTTCTGTAGAATGTTAGAGAGTTAAAGATGGTTCTCGGCTAGGCCAAGCCGACTTCTTATTTTAATTTATTCTTTAAAGCAAAAATTTAATCGTTGATAAAACTTTCTGAGAATTTAAAAATTGCCAACTACTCTTTTTCCTCATAATTTCAACGTAGTTCTTCAAACATTAGCAAATATTCTTGTTCTGATTTAAGGACATCGAGAAAAATCATGAATATTTACTTTTCAATAAACAAAATGTACGATATTTACTGTGCACTGTAACTCATAAAATACGAAATTCTTGCAACTATCTTGAAATAAAATAAAATTGAACTATAATCACCGAATTTTAATTATATAAATACACTGTCAATATCAAAACAAAAAGAATAATAACTTTACACATTTTTTATAGTAAAGATTTACACAGCAAGCTAGTGTATAGATACACATCAACAAAATACGGTTAAAATTTGAACATAAGGTTTTATCTAATGGTCCTGCGTGCAACTATTATTATTCCCTCTTGAACCATTAAGGTGTCACATTATCCGCCAGTAATTCACGTTGACTTAAATTAGTTAAGTAGTTCATAAATATCTCAGAAAGTACTATTCCAAGTGCTCCATATATGTAATGTTTTCTAATTTACATTACTCCGGTCTTATTTTCAATCATTCAACTATTTACTTGTATATTTATTTAATCTTTATTTGTAAACATATATATTGAACGTTATGCATTTGTGTACGCGGAAATCTACAAATTAAGACTTGTATCATTTATGACGCGTGAAGAGTATGAATTTTAACAATTGTCATTAACAAAAGTGACATAAATTATTAAAAAAAAAATTATATATCACAAAATGTAACACAGTGGATCATTGAGTTGCCGCCTTAGCGCTGATGTTCAACTGCGTTGTTTGCTCCCAATTGAGTGACCATATGAGAACTTCAACAGTGACACACACTTTGCTCCCAAGCTGGTCATTCAGCTATAATGAGATTGCGTCAGGTCGACAGCCGGTGTAAAATTTCATCGAATTGTTAAGCCAAAGCCGACCACAAATAGTTGGCATAGAGGCAAAGGTGATAATGATTGTTAAGTGTACTCAAAAAAATAATTACTATCACATTTAACGTTTGATAAATTCCATTAAAATTTTGTAGACAAGAATATATATATATATATATATATATATATATATTATAAAATCATGAAAAAATACAAACAATTTTATAAAACAACGTGTTTTCAAAATATTTAAGTAAAATATCAATATGAAAAGACTTAATTGATTAAAAGCATCATACTATATTGTTAAGGTAAATTTGATAGTAAAGAGATAATAATCATATTTCATTGAAAAACAACATGGACAAAGATTAATGTACTGCGTAAACATAACATTTTAAATACACTAATAATATTTGAAAAAAATCTGCAATTTATAAATATTAATGTTTGGATATAGCTCCCGTTGAAATATTCTATAATGTTCGGTAACATTAGTTAAAAAATCTTCATTTATTTGCCTATTTATATAAATATGTGCACATAGTTCTTAAATCAATCGCATATTTGATCTATTTAATATGAAGGTCAATTATTATCAATGTTATTAAGTGTTGTTTACCTATTTTCGAGACTTTCAGAATAAGTAAAAATAATTATTTTAATTGGCACTTATTTAAAAATAAATATATAGTTATACTTAACACTTGACCTTGACGGCACGTAATGACTTTTAGCTGACAGCTAAATGTTTATCCAACATCAAATTAAAGAATTATCTATGCCAAATATAAAGTAGTGTATTAGTTCATTAAATGCATAACAAGCAAAGTGGGAGTATATTTAATGTATATTTTATTTAATTAAGGATTCAATAAAATTTATATGGTGTGAAAAGCAAGTTTACGTCTATAAACTGTCGAATATTTTACACCAACCCAATACTTTAGTGACTTATGTAAAATGAAATGCTATATACAATGTATATATATGTATATTATACATATATTTTTTAAATCTTAAACGGGCTTAAATATTTCGGTTTATGACTTTCAGTATGTCGTAATTCAAATAGCATAATAATTTATATAAAAACAAACGAAATAAATAAGCTTGGAATTTTTATATCTCAGAGTATTTGAAAATTTTTTTTTTTAATTAGTATTCATAAAATTTTAACGTACATGTATTTTTACAGAAAACATTATTTATTGAGTTTTAATATAGGCGGTTAAAAGGTACTCATTTTCAAGTTTATGTGGGCTGTTTCTAAAACAGGATATACAGTATGAGAAAATTATACCCCTGTCAGACTTATAAATTTTAGTTACACACAAGAATTAATAACAACCTTTAGCCTAAAAAAAAATAATTTCAAACAAAAATTAATTTCACTGGTTATATTTTGATGCATTAAATAAAGTGACGCATTCATTAAATAGATCTAAAACGTGTGATAGTTTGAATTTACATGCATAATTTTTGACGATTTAATTATTTTTATTTTTAATCGAATTTAACGTTATCTTATTATAAAATGATAATAATAACCATAAAAATATTACACCTAGTTTCCCACATATTTTAATGTGTGATCAATAAATATCAGTATAATATAAACACGTTCTTATATTTTATCTCAATTTAACTTTAAATGATACTTTTCACCGCAAAAAATATACACATTATACTAAGACTAAAAAAGATTACTGTGTACTTGTATCCATAAAACTAATCTCGGGTAATAAGACAAATTTTAAGTGTTATACATTTCTTAGTGTTTGTAGGCATACTAAAAGTCTAGTACTATTACTTTAAGAATATATACTCAAAATATCAAATAATCTAATTAATCTTAAATGTAATAATGTTAAATGAACAAATTTTTCACGACTAATAAAAATATCAAAAAAAAATAGACTATTCAATTTAACACGCCTGTAAAAGGCATATAAACTTTATTCAATTACAGATTACAATTTTGGGTTAGGCCGAGCACCTAGTGAAAACTATTTGGTTTTATGGTCGTCTAACAATTATTGGCAGTTCACACTAATGTTATTTATAAATTACACTATAAACTTGTGTATAGTTCTTAAAACAAATTTCGTTAATAATTTTCAACGTATATTATGACAAACCAAAAAGTTATAAAATTCTTGTAAATAAAACCGTTAAGATATTTTTATATTTAAATGGAAAGAGTAAAAGAATGAGGTTAAACTAAATAAATAAGTATAAGAAGATCTATAAAAACACTATTATTCATACCTCAGTTCATGCAAAGTCACGTAGATTTTCAAAAGCCGTAAATCGTTTAGGTTGACTTTCACACCTACTAAGTCATCCCTATAAAGTATTCATCTGCATATAGACAAATTCATATATATCTGTGTTAACCCTTAACCCGGAATGACAATTAAACTTGCACGAGATATACCTATTGGGGGACTAGCTTTATATGACACAACACTATTTCGATGGCTATAATTTTTCTAAAAATAAACTTTATTTAATATGCATTTGCTCGTCTTTACTTAAAACACAAACCGTACGAAAATAACTCATGCGAGCCTTCTAAATAATTGCCTATTTCTGAATAATATTAATCATTGTTCTTGTATTATTGTATTGTTATAAAATATTTCTTGGGAGAGATTAAACAACTTGAGAATTATTTTTACATTAGAAAATCTGTCTACAATAAGCAAATATACGACGTGTCATACTTAACTAGTTTACCTGTTTAACAAACCACACGCAGCATGTTGTTTTTCCAACCTTGTAGCATTTTGTAACGGTAAAGTATATCACAGCGGTCTCCTAAAAATTAAAAACAGTGGTGTAATAAATTACAAAGGCCGAGTAGGGAGTAGTAGTATCATATTGTGCCTTTTGGTCGTTAAAATATGTGCGAGTGTGAACTGTTATTAGATAATCAATTTTATCAGCCAATCTGTTTGGTGTATTTTTAACCGCGCGGTTGTTTAGTGTGCATGACTGATTAATATCAACTCTCATAATTGTCCCTGAACGTTTAAGTACCGTTTCGGGAATAGTAATGACAACTGTTTACAATTTTAATTATTTCAAACATAACACGATTCATTCAGCATGAAAATTATTAAAGCTATTTGAATTTTAAAATGATTGGAACACACCCTAAGCTTATTATTACATTATCAATAAACTAATTCGAATTATGATTTTCAAAAAAGAACTATTGGTCCATTCTCCTCCTACCCCTTTTAAAGTAGTATAACTTTAGTTTTTTTTTTAATGGAAATAAATATATTTAATTACCTAAAGAAACAAGAAAATGATTGACTCATAATAACTTTTAAACAGATATTCTAAAATATCTTAGCACATTTATATTAAGGCAGAAGGAGTATTATTTAAAATTAAAAATATTAATTTAAAAGTAAAAAATATAAAAATATTTAACTCATAGAGCCACACAAATTAATCGTAAATGAGTATTTCGGGAACAATGTTGCCCATATCAACACTAAAACCATACTGACATCCCGACAGAAAAATACTCTCTTATATACCTTAGTGACCTTATCACGTAGAGACGTTATCATATTATCACCTAGTCAATTGTCATATTTTGCCAATTTACACATTTTTATTTCACATTTGTATTCGGACTAATTTCAAAGTTGTAAAACTCATTAAATTTGGCTATTTCTCTTATAACCCACAGTTCTTTAACAAAATCTATTTTATTCATCGGAATATTAATTGATCTGTATACCATACTATTAAAAGTTCTCTTTTTGAGTTGCCAGCTGTGGTTCGAATTAATCAGAATGTACCTGGACTAGAGTTTTTTTTTTCGATAAATTTTAAAATTTAGTCCCTCCACTCAAAAAAGGCAATTTTCCCTCTATTTTCTGTTTATAAGTGATTTTGAATGAAAATAATTTAAACGTTGTTTGAAAGGCCTCTGTGTTAAGACCTTTATTTATTACTGCAAAAATATCATCTCCATACCTAACCGAAATTTTCAGAAAATAGCCATGTGTTTTAAACCTACTTATAAAAATTACTTTTAAAAATAATGATAGCGTATTTTCCATTGCTATGCCCTTAATTTGTTAATAAAATTTATTTTGAAACCGAAAAACATTATGGTCCATAAGTGACCTTGTTAAATTAACAAGCTCATTTATTATGTGCTGTTTTATGGTTTCTTCCTTACTACGTCAGCAGAATTTAATCTATCATTATTTTGAATAATACAACCAAATAATTCTTTAACACCCTTACTAAGTATTCAGCCAAATTGTAAGTCGGAACAGTAATATTCGACACAATTGGTCTCATATTATTTTCCGGCTTATGTATTTTTGTCAAAGCATATGAACACGTAGGTGCAATTACCAGGCATCTCTATTTTTGTTCAAAAATCACTTTTTTTAATAATTCAATAGAAAAATAAAATCCCTGTCGATTGTTGCAACAATCAGACAAATCCAATCGTTAGACATGAAGGTACTATACAAAAGAAGGTGTCTGTTTTTTTTCGCAACAACAAGACATCCCAGAGATGTCTTGTTACTTGAGATCTCTTAAATTCGATCACACCAACACTAAAATGATAGAATATTATTTACATACCAGTAACAATCTAACACAAATATCCCAATAGTAATATGCATGTTATGTATTCATCGTTTATAAGGTAGTCATAAACGAACAACAAGCTAATCTAGAGGTTGCTAAGAACAATATTTTAATTGTAAAAAGTTACTCAAAAATAAAATGGAAATCATTTTGACATGAGACAAAAAGTAAACTTAAAAAATAATACGTCAAAGATATGTAGTATAAAAACACATTTGTTGTATTTTTAAACGTTAATATATTTGTTAAATTCTTTCATGTGTAAAATCTATCAAACGTATTTCTTTGGTAAATATATTTGTTCGAATACATATTCGCTAACTTTAAGTAAATAAAATGAGGACATCATGCAAAGTCTCTTTCAGGATTGCGTGCGTGACATTTTAATCTCGTCTCTAGAGGAAAATTGAAAGTAATTGTACTTAAGTCCACAACTTAATGTGATTCCAATCCGTGACGCATAACGTGAACAATCCCATCGAATATCAATATTTAGAAACTGTTTTTCGATTTACACCGATTTAAAAATGATGCTCTGGTAACACGCTAATGTTCAAAATACTTTACTCCTAAAATTACTTCGTTAAGTACAACCAGCATAGAAAAATTAAAATTGTATTGAAAAATAAATAAATTTATCTGCGATTAGAAAGATATTGAAAATCAATAAATTAATGTTTAATAATAAAATACACGATGAAAACTTCATTTTAAATAATATCACAATAATGTGAAAGTAAACTGAAAATAAAACGTAAACTTTCAATTTTGCACATGGCTTACATTGTGAACCTACGCAAAATATTTCTCTGGTATTAAATTCTATATACTACTATCAACATTTTTCGGGCAAGTATAAGGTTAGGCTTATGGTAAAAAACGAGACGCACGCATTATATGTTTAATTTAAACAACCAGACACGTGTGGTACAACTAGCAAAATATTTAATTTCAGCTTTTATTATTATTATTATTATTATTAAATAACATGCCACGGTATCTTTAAATTACCGTGTTTTATTTGAATTTATTTTCACCTAAAGAATAATATCCACCCTGAGAAATGTAATTTTATTTGAAGAAAAAAATTTGTATTTAGTCACTTACCTAATATTTAATATTGGTATAATTTTAACATTTAATATTAGACATAAAATAGAAAAAAAAGGACGTTGCTTAAAGAATCCTAATAGTATTAATTACAACTACAACTAATGATAGTTAAGCTCCACGTTCATTATTTCTAAATAGATTACATGAACCAAGTTTAATTTATGCGATTACTTTAGGAAAGTTGTAATAAAGGAAAAGAACACATATTAGATTCTTTTCCGAATGTAAAGAGTTTATTGAATAACAATTTTTATACAAAAAATAAGTGTAGTAGTGGTAAAATCCATTTGTAGATGACCTTTTTACAAATTTAATTTAATTTAATTTTGTTAAATTAAATTAATTTTAATTAATTATAAATAATTATTAACAGTATCACTCTGTATATTTTTTAAACTGAGTAATATAATAGTATAATTTATGTTTTGTAAATTAAAATTTATCTATCTACACTACTATATTTTTTTAGTATTTTCTACAAAAACAAATTACAATGTTAACATGATACCTTGTGTTTTTATAGAGCACTTCCATTATTTTAAGTGATAATTGATACCACAATATTTTGGTTTTTAAATTTAAAAATTAGCTAAGATTTTTATGTTTTAAAGGATTTTAGTGTAATTAACTATAAATGGTCACAGAATGTTTTTTGCATTACAAAAAAAATAAAAATTGTTTTTGAAATATACCTATTAGCAAACATATTCCCTAGTCTATTAAAAATCGCCAAATATCATACGTTTTTACTAGAGTTTTTACATTTATTTTTGACTTAAATGACAACATATTACAGTGTATTCTTTAAGATATTTTTAAGTATTCTCGTGTCATTCGAAATTAATAGAAATTTAAAAGTTAAAAGTAAAATTAGTTTGTACTCATACAGTATAAATAATAAATTATAAATAAAAAAATTAATTGTTTAAAGATAATAACAAGGTTTCAGAGTTTCTAAAAAGACCAACGAAAATTTTGCTTTCTAATATCAAACTAATAGTATATTTATACATGAAATATTTCTCATGCACCCAAATTGATTTTTAATAAACTATTTCCAAGTCTACAATATCAGCAATTAATCATATTTGACGGATGAAAAGATTGTTAAAAAAAGTTCGAGCACATTATTAGGATGATAAAGCACTTTTGATCTAAAGATTTTACAGGCACTACCAATAATATATAGTGATAATTTTTAGAAAAGACTCTCTATAAGAACACTTCAGACCTTAATAATACTTGTAAAAAATAAGAGCGCACCTTATATTTAAAAATGTGTCGACATATTTATGTTTCAATATGAAATACTCATTGAATGAGTATTTTATAAAGTATGAACACCGCCTTTTTAAATAAACTTGAAATAAATTGTCTCACAATTTTGTAACTGTACTTCTGCACAAATGCAAAAAATTATTTGAAAAACTAAAAAATAGCTAATAAAACGCTCACAAGAGAATTTTGGACAAAAAGTCTTCTACAAAAGTAACTCGAATGTTTTAACATCTAAAGTACTCACATTTTAAATGTTGTCTTAATAAAATTTTAAAAGCTCATATCGGTCCTCGAGTCTTTTAAGCTAATATTTGATAGTGTAGTAACTTCCTAACGGGCCACAAAGAACAAATGATTTTCTAAGTTTAGTAATAACTTCCGCAACAAAACTTTTACAAAAAAAAACACCGACAAAAAAGCAACATATCAATGATTTTCCATAAAATGTGAACATTTTAACAATATGATAATATTGTTCTTGAAATTATTAATAACTCATACCTGATTCAGGGTCGGAGTTGTCGGGGCACTTGTTGCCTGCGGCCGAGAGCCGGACGCATCGTAGTCTATCGGCCACCGTAGTTATTACTGCCGCCACCGAGCGACATCGCCACCGCCGTTGCCGTGATCGCCATCGACGCCGCTGCAAGACGTGCAGCAGCAGCGGCGGCGGCGTGGCACGACCGTGACAGCGTCTGGGATGGCGGGTGGACGATAAGAGCACGGCGGCGGTATAGTAGTAGACTCACCGCCCTGTCGGCCGCGCCGAAAAATCTGGGTTGGCCACCCGCGCGCAAGCGTTCCGGCCGTCGTCGTAGCCGGCCACCGACAGCCACCGGCAAATCAATTTATCAGCAGCGCACGCCGTCGTAACTATCGTACCATCGTGACATTAAAAACCGTTTAACACACGTGTAATAATTTACGCGCTAGTCCACATCGACACGGTCCGTCCGATGTATTTTTTCGGGGACATGGCCATTATTTAAATAACGTGGAGGGCGCAAGCCAAGACGAGCGAGGGAAAGCATACGAGCAGGTTGAAATGAGGTTATTGGAAATGTTTTGCCGTCTGTTCAAGGTCACGCTGTGGTCGTAGACGCGATCGATGTATCGGCGCTACCCTCGTAGAGCGTTTTCGAGTTCCGCTCCTTTTTTTTTTCGCGTTCCGACAAAGGGTTGTCGTTCCAGATCGGCGTGCACATACAATCACCGTCGGCGGTGATGTACACAGAGAGCAACGGGGAGATTTTATTTTGACGCGCGTGTTTATCACGCGTACACCCAATTTATACTACCGACACACGTGTTACGCCGCTCGTGGACCAGCCCTGCAAGTCTGATATATCACGTACGCCATGACACCGACACACATTGTGTTTAGTAGACGTACGCGTTAGATAATCTCATACGTACACACAGACGGTTCTCTTTATTCTTCTCTGCGTATGTTTGCGTGTGTATTTGTTTGCTTTTGCATTTGTCCCGAAGAAAATCGATGTCCCACTTTCACGGAACAACAAGGCCCGTGTTGTGTCACAAAGCGAGTGGTGTGTGTGTGTACGTGTGTGTGTGTGTGTGTGTGTGTGTTAACATGAAACTAAACACATTACTCGTTCAGTTAATTGATAATTAATAGATAATAATTGAATACTTTTAGTAAAATGGAAAACCGATTTTGAGAATGCAATTGATTTATTTTTTTTCGATTAAAGGAGTGCGAGCAAAAAGCTAGTCATCATTAATTTGTTGCAATACTCGTTACTCGCCATTCAAGTTCAATTTATATGAATATATTCGATAATCTAACTATTAACAATCGGACTAAAAGATTTATTTTCTTACATAATACACGGTACTATTGGTAATAAATCGAAAACTGATGATGAAATACGAAATAAATTGAAGGTTACAATAGAGATAATTAATCGAAATTATTCGATTTGTTGTTAATTTACTCATCGCATTTGTAGAACAAACTAAGCGCCATGTCTTCTTTTAAAACTCCATGAAAAGATACAATTAATGTTTCTTAAATAAAATTTTACCAGACGGTAAAAATCTGTTGTTTTTACTAAACATATATATATATTTATAAGCAGATTTGACTCTACGAAGATATATCGCCCGGAGTCTTTCTGTCACAAATTTAACGGACTTCAAATTAATTTAAAATCTAACCGAACGCGCACAAACACAGTAGACTTGTTTTATATAATACTTTTATTTCGTTTAACTATAAAGACAAACATGACGACTATAGTCGACATCGTATCCTCGAATAGTTCGAGCATAGGAAATATTTATTAGTGGTCAATTCGACAAATGGGATCGATTTAAAAAATAAATAATCGGCAGCCTCAAAACCGCCTGTTAGGACTCTGAACAATTCAAACAAAATGAAAATCATTACGTTAGAATTGTGTGTCCATCGATTTACTTTTATGAGCGGAAAAGTTGTTTTCATTAAAATACTTTTTTTTGTTATCTTTTATGTAAATTCATTAAATACACCAGAAAATAATATGCTGCGTGAACGAACGACCTGAAAACATTTGTACGCGAATATGTTTTTAACGGTTACTATTTATTGTTTTATCACCCCGAGCACACATTAATGGAGTCAACCGTGAACCCATTAAAAATGTACATGTTGTTGTGTATAAAACTCGGCGTGAATTGCCATGCGCAAATCATGTTAAAGGTTATTTGCGTTTCATGTGTTGTATTTATACAGTGGAGCTAGTGAAAACTGGTAACAGCACATCAGTTCCAAAATCTAATCTAACGATCAATATATTGTTTTATATTACACGCTAATGGAAGATTAATCTACACATGTTAAAAAAAACTACTCGCACACACGATACGGCATTGATTACAATAATACACATACAAACATTGAATCTATTAATATCTAATTCACAATAATTCATGTCCTGTATTCCGTGTAAATAAACGAACGACGAAATATTATTTTTACATTCTAATACGACGCGCGTGTGTGTGGACACTTTTATAATGTTATATTCTGTATTTTTCAAACAGAACTATTTTAATTTCTCAAATAAATAAACAATCCGTATCAACGTCAAAAATAATCTGCCGATACGTATGAAAATTTACTGTATAAACAAAAATTCAACAAATTTTGTGCACACAAATGGAACATAATAAATGCATTGAATATTTACTATTAAGCGTACGAAACTCTTTTTTTTCGCCGAAACATAGTTCGAATGCATTAAAAATAAATATTCTCTGGCAAAATTAAACAAAATATTTAGATTTTTACACTGTTGTAACATATTTCAGTGGAAGTTTGAATTAAAAACCACTAATAATAAATAAAGAGGCAGCTTTGTATAAAACTCGATGTAGCCGAAAAACGATTTGATCTTTTTATAAAAATACGCATGCCGGCGTATTGTATAGGCAATATTAGTGCACTCGTGTAAAACCTGTCGATAGAAATGCGTCGAATGATAAGTTTAACTGGCAACTATGTCCAATTTGGCGTGTGTACCGAACTGTTTAATGTTGTTGTTGAAACAAACATAATAATTGTATTTGATAATAATATATATGGAATACAATTATTGGGCAGATTTGACTCACACGGGTATAAAAAATTACTCTGACATTCTTCAAAATAGTTAAGATCTTCGTTTGTTATTTACTACACAATGTTGTCATTGCAGATTACAGTTTTTTAACGTGTATTTTGCAAAACAATAGTCGTTATTAACATTTTTTCATATTCCGAATACGAGTGGGTTTTTTTTTTTTACTACATCCTTAAAATGTTTGATGTTATTTTGACGAGCACGAACAAATTTAAACATTTTACTTTATATCGATAACTCAAAGAAACTGATAGACGTATACATTTGTACACGTACACGTACCACGCAGAATTCGTTTATCGTTTTTATACAACAAATGAATAACCTAAGAGAAATAAAATGATAATGTTTCGTTTGTGCTCATTCGTCCAACACGTATAAACCAGCTGCTGTTGAAACACGATTTTAATGATTCGAATATGACAGTAAAATCAATTATGACTACTATACACTGTACACACACAAATATAAACCCGATCGCATATTTTTAATAATAATTATTGACTATTCTTATAAAATCAAACCGTTACTGCGATATCTGTTTTTTTTTTCGTTTACCGTGTAAAAGTAATCAGTAATTGAATGTTTTTCTAAAAATACTTTTTTAATGAACCAATGAAAAATAATTATTTGCATTACAAAAGAATAAAAAACCTTATATCAATTGAAATTTACATTTCCTGTTTCGCGAGAAGAATTCATTATGTTTAATAATTTACGAACTAATATAGTCTACAGGTTTGTATACAGAAAATACAAAATTTTAAATTTAAATTCGCAGAAATTTTTCTGCGAGGATTTTATGGACAAAAAATGTAAAACTATAAGAAAAAAATAACTTAATTACAATAAAAAGTAAGGATGCAGTTGGGGTCCAGCAGAAAATGGAGTTTAAGTATTTTTTAGATAGAATGTTATCTGACAGTGATTAATAACACTGTTATGATGCGTAATTGAAACAAATTAATAAAATTTCCATTAAAATTGCATTACACAAAAATTGTCCACTTATGAATTATGCCGACGACTTGTTTTCTATGACCAGTTGTCGGTACGTTTTTCTTGTTTAATCATATTTATTAACCTTCTTAATAGGTTAAAAATACATTTTTACCGAAAATTTAGCCAAAATACTGTATGTATTTTAGCGCTGAACAAATTAAATACAGTCTACAATTATTTTTATGTTAAATCAATCGTATCTTTGTTATTGGATTACAATATTAGTTTTGTTCATAAATATTTTATTGTACTAACAAAAATGTTTGTTTAACCAACAAAAACTTACTGTCGTCTGTATATTAACAGTAAATTTATTGATTTTACTAGCGTGTTTTTTCAGCGTGCCTGATAACTCCTAAAAATCATATTTCGTATAGCTTATCTTTTTCATTTCGAAGAGCATTAAATTAGCTTTAATTCGGCGTAGGTTTGTAGAAGTCAACATATTTGAAACGTTATCAAAAATAAAAAGCAACAAATTTTATATGATTATTTCATAGTAATACTATAAAATTTCAATGTTGACATTTTATAACAATTGTATTTTTATAGAATTTTCTTTATTTACGGAATTTTTCAAACTGTGATGTCTGAACATCGAACTAGATACTATTTGTGATCATTTGTCGCATTGATGAGCAATGTTGTTCTAGTAAGAATAGAGTATTTTTATGGACAGACATAAAAAATACACGGCACAGTAAAATACTTCTTAGATACGCATCGATGCAAGTATAATACAGTTTAACATAAGTCATAATATTTATTTGGTATTACTTTCAAAACAAAGATCTAAATAAATTTTTCTTTAAATAATACAACAACCTGTACATTTGTTTAAAAAACAATTAACTTTATTTAGTACATGGGAAAATAAATTAGTAAATAAAAAGGAAACATAAATATTTAATCATAAGATTTTACCACGGGGGCATTAAAACAAGAAGTTTATTGGATTCATAAATAAATAAGCTGTAAAAGTTTTTTATCTGATTGTTTGAAAA